AGGCTGGGGTACAGTGGTGCAGCCTCTACCTCCTGGGATCAAGCAATCCTCCCACCTCAGCCTCCTTAGTAGCTGGACTACAAGCACATACCACCTTGCATGGCTAATTTTGTTTATTTTTTGTAGACGTGAGGTCTCAATATGTTGCCCAGGCTAGCCTTGAACTCCTGGACTCAAGTGATCCTCCAGCCTTGGCCTTCCAAAATGTTGGCATTACAGGTGTGAGCCACTGTACCTGGCCTGGTGTGAAGTTTCTAAAGTTTATACTAACCTCAAATATTCTCCGATATGCCTTGATTATATCAAGGTACAGAAAACTTTACTAAACATTTCTAGGTGATATGTAAGAAAGCATGTTTACTAATTAGTAAATTATATCAAGAAAATTTGTCAAAAACTTGGAAGCAGGCAAAACTGATAACTGGGTTTTCTTTCAGGGGAATGCTGAATGTGTAGGGACTCTCCAGGGATTATCTGATTCTAAATGAGTGTGTACTTTTGATCATCTTTGATTGACTAGGCTATTTTACAACTCTGTAGGGATAAAAGAGAAATTTTATACATCTGAAAAGGATGCAAATGATTTTGGCCCATAACAATATAAATGATTCCTATTCTTGGCAATGCAAATGGACTTTATCCAGTAGAGAATACAAATTTCTGTAAGTCAAATTCTATAATGAATTGGTTTTAACTTACTGGTTTCCTCATTAATTACTCAGTTAAGTAAACTCCTTGACACTTAACATTTTGACTCATGCTGTTTTTATATTTATATGACTTATAGTTTTACAGTTTTAGAAATTATATTTTAAAATTATGTACCTGTGTAATAAGTAGTGATATAAGTATAATTAAGTAGTTAATTATAAACGTATACCTTTGGATTTCTCTCTCTCTGTCTCTCTCTCTCTCTTTTTTTTAATTTTAAAAATAGAGGAAAGGTTTTGCTATGTTGCCCAGGCTGGTCTTTAACTCCTGTGCTCAAGCAATCTACCCCCCTTAACTTCCCAGAGTGCTGAGATTACAGGCATGAGCCACCACACCCAGCCTATATATGTGGATGTTTTAAAGTACCTATATGATGTGCTGAAAAATAAGAAAACAGCATTTCTTTTTAAAATGAAGAGTAATATTTTCCATCGTCACAAACAATGCATGTACACTGAAGATAAATTAAAATATATTCAGAAGCAAGAATAAAATTTAAAAATAAAAACATTTATAATCTCACCACTCAGGAATAGTAATCACTATTAAGACCTTGGAATACAGTGTTTCAGACTTGTTTCTTGGCATATATGCAATTTATTTCTGAACCAGGATCATATGTACATACTGATTTAAAAAATTTAAATACATAAATGAACATGTTTTGGCTGGTATTTTTTGAAGATTACATTTCAGCATTCCTGAAGAGGGGGTCAACAAAGCTTCTTGTTAGCTATTTTAGCTGTAATAACTTTGCAGGTGACATGTTATTATTTTAGAAATGAAAGCATAAATGGTCACATTAAATCACCAAATATGGAAGAAATTCAAGCAAAATATTTTAATTCTCTAAATCATTAGAGGTGTCCATTGTGTATGGGATCTTAGAAGTCTGCTTGTATGTATATCATGAGGAATGAAATTTTTTTTATAAAAATTGTTGTTTGTTTTGTTTTGAAAAGGAAGCCTGCATGGAGGTTACTGGGGGATTGAGGATGGGGAGGAACTCAAGACTACAAAGGAAATGAAGCCTGGAACATCAGTATAGGAAAGCAGTCCTATCTTAGCTGTTAACATTTAAAAAGCCCTTTCAAGGACTAAAGAAATAAAGGCTACAAATGTCTGGAGCTTGAAATGGCTTTTATACTTTTGAACCTGTTACAAAAAGCTTTTCTTAGAACTCTCCTTCTTTTCCCTCCCCTAAAACAAAATGGTTGGAAAAGAAAAAAAAAAAAGAAAAACAGGAAAAGAACAGATATAAAGGATGTTGCCATAGCTTATTTTACGTTTCTGAGCCAGAAGAAAAGCTTAAAAAAAAAAAAAAAAAAAAAAAAGAACAAAGAGGAAGAGTTGCCATATTTTAAAGTCTGAAGGAAACGAGGAGAATAAGTGGTTATATCCTTGAATTTTTGTGAATTGTATATAGCTCAAATGTAGGTGCATTTCTAGAAGGAATCAATACTTCTTGATTGTGCTACTGCTAAACTTGTTTACAAACAAGCTGCAAAAAGTAAGAGAAAGAGGGTAGTGTGTATTGAGACTATTCTGTTTTTAATACAGTAATTGAACACAAACGTTCTATATGTGTCTTCATGAAGAATAAGTTTCAAAAAGATGTACGAAGGACATAGGTTACCAATTCTTATACAGTTCCTCTCCAAACAGCCAAGAATGATTTTCCTTCCTTGTTTTATGATTTATTCGTTGTTTTATTATCAAAGAAATAGAAAAATGAATAACATTTGGTGACTTGTAGATTTTTTTCTTTTAGCATTATAAATCAAGATTTCAGAAGAAATCCTAGTTCTTTCTAATGGAGTCTAACTCTCTGAAATTAAAAACTTAAAAAGTTCTGTAATATAATATGAAAGTTCTACATTTTAGTCTCATTACTGATATTGATATGATCTTGGCGAAGTCACCTAACTTCTCACAGAGTCAAACTAGTTTATTCTAAGTTTCTTCCATCTGTAATGCTCTGTGATTCTATGAATTTAATAAATATGAAAGTAATCTTAAGGATAAAACCACATTTAAAAAACAATTTAGCAAAAATATTCCTAATTTCAAATATTTTAATTCATAATATAAAATGAAATTTTAGTATAACCATACATTTTATTTTTTGAATTATATTTTGATGAAAACATAATAGACATACAGAAAAGTATACAAATCATAAGCGTATATAGCTCATTCATCACAAAATGAACATATCTGTATAACCACTACCTGGGTCAAGAAATAAAACATTTTCAGTGCTGCTGACTCCTTCCTTCCCTCCCAATTACTATGACCCTCTCAAAGGTAACTATCCTGACTTTTAAGAGCATAAATTAGTTTTTTTTTCTGTTTTCGAGCTTTATTTAAATAGAATCATACAGTATATTTTTTATATCTAGCTTCCTTTACACAATGTCATATTTATGAGAATCATTATTGTTTTATAGTAGTGGTTGGTTCATTTTATTCTATATAGTATGCCATTGTATGAGTTCATTTGTCGATGGGTATGTGAGTTGTTTCCAGTTTTTGACTTATTATGAATGACGCTGCTATGAACATTTTTGTATATTTTTTTATATAAATGTGCATGTGTTACTGTTGGGGATATGCTTAGGAGTAGATAATGATGCCAAAAGGTTTTCCAAACTGGTTGTACCAATTTATACTCCCATATGCTCAGACCATAAAATTTGAACTGTTCCTTTATGACCATTGAAATGAAATGATCACTAATATGAAGCAAGTGAACTTTCTCAGAAGAAAATGATATATGGGTACTGACCAGCCTTACTAATGCCTTTTTTTGTTTTGTTTTAGAGATGGGTTCTCTCTATGTTTCCCAGGCTGGCCTCCAACTCCTAAGCTCAAGTGATCCTCTGGCCTCAGCCTCCCTAGTAGCTGGGACTATAGGTGCATACCACCACACCTGACTACTAGTGCATTTTTTTTTTTTTTTTTTTTTCCCAGACAGAGTCTTGCTCTGTCACACAGGCTAGACTGCAGTGGCACAATGTCTGTTCGTTGCAACCTTCGCTTCCCAGGCTGAATCAATTCTTGGGCCTCAGCCTCCCAAGTAGCTGGGATTACAGGCATGTACCACCATGCCTGGATAATTTTTTGTAGTTTTAGTAAAGACAAGGTTTCACCATGTTGGCTAGGCTGTCCCTGAACTCCTGGCCTGTACTTGATTCTCCCACCTTGGCCTTCCAAAGTGCTGGGATTGCAGGCATGAGTCACTATGCCTGGCCTCTGATGCTTATTTAAAAAAACATTATAGTACTATTCTTTGGAGACTAGAACTTCGGAATTTCTTACTACCTATCATTTGATACAGGGAAAAGCAGTTGATTTTTTTTTTCTTTTTTGCTAATTTTTGTTCCCTCAACTGAGAGTAGTTGGAAAAAAGTAAAACTTCAAAACCATTAAACTATTGTTTTTATCTGTTTTTTACTTCCTTGCTAAGCAGTGTTTTAATAATAATAAACATCTTTAGCTGTTACAATGTTTTTGAATATATAGTACTTTTTGCTTTGAGTAGAGAGGAAGTTAATGTTTATTATCTGTTCCTACAATGTTTCTGTTCCTCTTTTATTCCCCACTCCTCTTTTTTTCGTTCTAATTCTCATTGAAAGTTTAAGTTTTCATTAAGGACCTTGCTTCCTGTGGGCTATCCACAACACATTAATCATAAACTATTTCTTTGGGGAAAATAAAACACCAAAAACTAACTTAACTATAAAAATCTTATTTATTATAGCAAGACAGTGCTATTCTACAGAAATATAATCTGAGTCACAAATGTGAATCATGTATGTAATTTAAAAATTTCTAATAGTCATACTAAAAAAAGTGAAAAGCAACAGGTGGAATTCATGTTTCTAATGTATTAGAACCCAATATATCAAAAATAGTATTATTTCAGTATGTAATTGTAAAAATTACTAATGAGAGATATTTTAGATTATATTCTTCAAAAATCTGGTGTGTACTTTATACTACAGCCCTTCTCAATTAAGGCTAGTCATATTTCTAGCACCCAAGAGCCCCGTGTGGCTATTGGCTATCCTGTTGGACAATGCAGGTTTAGGCTTTCCATAACAGAATGGGAGCAGGTCCCATGCTGTACAAGGTAAACATGATTTTCTTATGCTTTTAGTAACATTCCACTGTAATATGCTCTAATAGTGGGTCATTAATCTATGTTTGACACAGGATTTTTTAGTTTCTAGAGTAGGAAAGGGCTCCAAAGTACTGAAATTTATTTTTTGAAACTTTTCCAACAGGACTGTTTTGCCAGATTCTAAATGACAACTTTTAAATCAGAGCCTTGAAATCTACAGAAGTCCAGTATATACTGAGGTAATTTACTTATTCTAATGAGCAGCAGCAAGAGACACATCTGGTAGATGTAAAAGACCTAATGAAAATTAAAAGACACAACATTTGGAACAACTGGTAGGTAAATAACAAAGGTATTTGTAATAACCTCTTTCTTATGAGGGAAATTTTTCTGAGGGAAAAACAATGAACATGACATTGTATGAAAATAACTTTGAAAGTTTAGTAATTTTAGGGAAGTTGGAAGTCAAACAAAAGTTCCATGGAAGCAGATGTTTTTTTTTTCCATACAACAATGCTGTACATAATTTCTTGTTCACTAGGATAGTCTACATAAACCTATTTGAACTATAAGATAGCTCAACTAATTATCATTTGTAGTAATAAATAGTGTTGCAATGCTAAAAGTAAAATAATTTGTATTTTATTATTTCTAATACTTTTGAAAAATTATGTAGAATTCTTTGGAAGATGAGGAAGGAGTTAAATGGAGACATAGATGTTTTTAACAATTAAGTGATTCATGATGGAGGTTATTTTTTCTAGTTTTTTATTATGCAAATTAAAAAACATATTCACACATGGGTAGAATCGTGAGTATGAACACCATGTGCTTAGTGGGGAAGTAAAACGTTTTTGGCAAAGAAAAGTTGGATCACAGTTTTCTCCATTGGTCATCACATGACAGGAGCAACTTGAGATGATTTAGTAGCTACTTGATTTGAGTTCTGCAGGAGTGGAAGGAGCTGGGGAAGTGTAGTTGTGACAATGTAGACTGCATTGCTTCATGGATTGAGTAAATTGGTACATGGTTTAGTGTTTTGCAGACCAGTGACTGAATTCTGGAAGTAGGCAGTGTAGGATTCTGGGTTTGGCTGTTCCTTCTTTTATCTTTTATCTATTAACTCTAGATACTTTGCTTGGTTTCTTGTTTAGTTTCAACATTGTGCAAATTTTATACTTGTATGAATTTTAGAGTTACTAGCTATTAAGAAAACTTAAATTTTTAGGAACAATGTATGATTTCTCCTTTTTAAAATTTATTATTATTTATTTATTTTTCCACAGCAGCAAATGTATGATTTCTCTAAGCAGGCATATTCTGAATGTATTATCCATATGAAATAAAATGTTGTTTATATTGTGAAGTAAATGATTTATATAATGTAAAATAGAGGACTATTTTGTCTATATTCTCAAATTTTTCTTTTAAAAACAATTTAGTAAAAGATTTTGGTAATCTAATGCATTGTATACTACCATTATAATTGTACTTTTTTCTAGTTTTATATTAGCTTGTAAATGCTTGTTAAATTTTTTTTCTGATATTTTTGGCCGCCTCATACTTGCAGAAAATTTCTTAGGTATAGTTTGGATGCGCCTATTAGCATAAGGCCATGTGCTGTCTAAGAAAAAATCTGATTCAGAAATCAGAAAGTCTGGGGTCACTGTGGCTCTGTCAGTTAATTCTGTGTCACCTTGGGCTAATCACTTGTCTTTCTGGATTTCAGTTTTTTATTTGTAAAACAAGAGAGTTGGCTAGATGATTTCTAAGATCCTTTAAGGTGGCAGCATAATATAGTGGAGAGAATATTTGTTTGGAATCAGTCACACCTGGCTTTCATTCATTCACAAGTATTTATTGAGAGCTATTATTTATTGTGCCAGGCATGGGAAATATAACAATTAACAGTATAAATAATTGAACTAATTAGTCTCTGCCTTTATGGAGCTTATATTCTAGTTTGGTAGACAACAAAAAGACAACTACATAAAACGATTATAAAATACAATAAGTGCCATAAGGAAAAAAAGAGACTCTGACAGTATGATGTGGGTCTGCCTCAAAAGGTAGTGATTCAGGGTAAGATGGAGCTAGCTAGGTAATTAATGGGGAAATGGTTTAGGTAAAGGGAACAGCGTGTGAAATGGCCTTGAGGCTGAAAAGAGCTTAGTGTGTTCTAGTAACTAAGAACATGAATAGACAATTCTCAAAAAGATATACAAATGACCAACAAACATATGAAAAAATGCTAATGATCAAGGAAATGCAAGTCAAAACCACAATGTGATACCACCTTACTCCTGCAAGAATGGCCATAATTAAAAAAAAAAAAAATAGATGTTGGCTTGGATGTGGTGAACAGGGGACACTTCTACACTGCTGGTGGGAAGGTAAAACTAGTACAGCCACTATGGAAAATGGTGTGGAGATTCCTTAAATAAGTGAAGGGAGAACTACCATTTATTCGATCTAGCAATCCCACTACTGGGTATCTACCCAGAGGGAAAGAAGCCATCATATGAAAAACATACTTGCACTTGCATGTTTACAGTGGCACAGTTCACAATTGCAAAATCATGGAACCAACCCAAATGCCCATCACTCAATGAGTGGATAAATAAACTGTGGGGTGTGTGTGTGTGTGTATGTGTGTGTGTGTGTGTGTGTGTGTGTGTGTATGGAATACTACTCAGCCATAAAAAGGAATGAATTAACAGCATTTGCAGTGACCTGGATGAGACTGGAGACTATTACTCTCAGTGAAGTAACTCAGGAATGGAAAACCAAACATCATATGTTCTCACTGATATGTGGGAGCTAAATTATGAAGATACAAAGGGATAAGAATGATACAATTGACTTTGGGGATTTGGAGGGATGCGTGAAAGGGGGATGAGGGATAAAAGACTACACATATGGTGCAGTGTATACTGCTTAGGTGATGGGTGCACCAAAATCTCACGAATCACCACTAAAGAACTTACCCATGTAACTAAATACTACCTGTACCCCAATAACTTATGGAAAAAAAGAAACAGATAACATTTTGAGGTAAAAAAAAAAGACAATCAGTATTTACTAGAGTATAGTGAAAAGAGGGGAGACTGGCATAAGGTGGGGTTGGAAAGATAGGCAGAGCTTTTAGATCATGAAATGAAGTTTGGATTTAATCTTAAGTGCCATTTTAAGATTTTATCTTAAAAGTAAGCCATTGTAGGGTTTTCTTTTTGAAACAGTGTCTCGTTCTGTCGTCCAGGCTGAAGTACAGTAGCGTGATCATGACTAACTGGAGCTTCCATCTCCGAGGCTTAAGTGATCCTCCTGTCTCAACCCCCCAGTAGCTGGGACTACAGGCCCACCATGCCTGGCTAACATTTTTTTCTTTTCTTGTAGAGATGGGGTTTCATCATGTTGCCTAGGCTAGTCTTGAACTCTTGGACTCAAGTGATCCACCTGCCTTGGCCTCTCAAAGTGCTGGGATTACAGATATGAACCACTGTGCCTGGCCTGCTGTAAGGCTTTTAGCAGGAGAGTGACTGATTTGATGTCTTAAGACATTTACTCTTATTACAGTATGGAGAATGGATTGGAGGAGGTCAAGAGTAGAAGTGAAGCTGTTACATAGTTCAGGTGAGAAATAATGAGAAGCTGTTGCATAGTTCAGGTGAGAAATAATAATGCATAGTTGAGCTGTTGCATAGTTCAGGTGAGAACTGGGTTAAGGTGGTAGAGGTGGAACTGAAGAGATATGGAGCAATTCAAGATATATCTTAGAATGAGAAACAACAGGACTTGCTGATGGATTAGAATTGGGGATAATGCAAAGGAAAATAAAAAGACGGCTCTTAGGTTTCTGGCTTGAACAACTTATGGACAAATTTTCTGTTTACCCAAATGGGAGGAGACAGACAGATTCAGGTGGGTAGGCATCATGATTTATTTGTTAATTGTTTTCTTTGGACACAGTAAATTTATAATGTTTTTGAGATATATATGTGGAAATACCAAGAAATACAGTAGATAGACAGTCAAACCTGAAACTCACAGAAGTCATGGCTAAGTATAGATATATCTGACAGTTATCAATATAGGGATGGTATTCAAATCCATGGGAATGGATAAGATCATCCAGGAAAAGAGATATATTTCAGAGGGCTCTGACCTGAGTCCAAGGAACCCTATAACTTAAAAGTCAGGTAAAAGAGGTAGATTCAACACTGGAGGCTAAGAGGTAGTAACTCTTAATAAGGATGGAATAAACCAGGAGATACAGTATTTGGAGGGCAAGAGAGGTCAGGGTTTCAAGAAGGAGGAAGTTGATGATTTTGTTGAATGCTGATGAGAAATGAAGATAAGCACAGAGAAATGGCTATTGGACTTGGCAATGTTTGATTTGAGTTCTGGCTTGTCCACTTATTAGTTGTATGACCTTGAACACTTCATTTCACATCATTGAGTCTTACTTTTCTCACCTTCTCAAAAGGTACTTCTCACATGGAGTTATTCTAAGGATTGATCAACTAACACATATTTACTTGAATACTACCTGAAAAATATGGGACGCAGAGTTGATATTAATTCTTTTCTTCTCTAGTTTTATGATACTTTTAGAAACTTTGAATAGGGTACACCTATCCCTCCCTTCAAGATGTTAATTTGTTTTGGAAAATTCTGCTCTTTAGTGAAAAGCTATGAAAAGAAAATATTTTCATTAATTTTAATAGGAAAAATTATAATGCATTTTATACCAACCCAAGATACCCTCTCTTTTCACAGAAAAATATGGCATTTGGTGAATAATGAAAGCAAGCTTAAATAAGTAATAAATAGCATTTGAAAGTAAATAAATATAGATTATACATAAATTATAAAGTAATAAAGTTTTATCATATTTGCTGAATGAATTAAAGAATTAATAATGGATGGCTGGTAGAGGAGGAGTGTGAGATGTTCATTCTTTGGAAGGTGCATTCTTCTTTCTGCACCATTTTCTGCATCAATTTTTTTTTAGACTTTTAGGAGCTCATGATTATCTTGGCTAAATGAACTTAACTTGAAGTTATAGCACAGAAAGTTACTGTGTTAGGCCATTTTTGCATTGCTTTAAAGAAATACCTGAGACTGGGAAATTTATAAAGAAAAGAGGTTTAATTGGCTTACAGTTCTGCAGGTTGTACAGAAAGCACGGCAGTGGCATCTGCTTAGCTTCTGGGGAGGCCTCAGGGAGCTTTTTCTCATGGTGGAAGGCAGAGGGGGAACAGGCTTCTCACATGGTGAGAAGGGAGCAAGAGAAGGGGGCAGGTGCCACACACTTCTTTTTTTTGAGACAGAGT